TACTATACTAATATCATAATATCATAATATTATAATAATAGTATTGTATATACTATACCTCTTTAACTTTTTTATTATAAATTATAGAATTTGTTATTTTCTCCACTGACCCACAGATCGGCGAAATGAAGTCCAAAACACAAGCCGACGAGTTGTGCGATGGTCTTCCTTCTCAATTTTCTAAATTTCTGACCTATTCAAAGGAACTTCAATTCACTGAAAAACCAGACTATTGTGGTATTAGAAACTCATTCAGGCGTCTCTTAAAGTCTATTGAGCCTGACGAAGCCAAGTGGAAGGTCGAGTCCATCGAATAATTCGTACATATGTTCCATTTGTGTTCTTTAAAATGTTATATATAACATTTTTAACAACAAAAAATAAAAATGTATAAATTATAATGTTATATATAACATTTTTAACAACACAAAAGTTACAAATTGTCTTCAATGAGTTTTCGTTTGCGGAGGTCGTTGAGCCTTTTGAGTTCCTTGATGTCGACCTCCTCTTCTTGTTGGTCTTGCTCGTCGTCGTCTGGTTCTTCGACTTCGTCGACTTCGATGACTTCTTGTGCGGGTTGTTGATTTTCACCCAAAGCGGTATCGATGTACCGTTCGACGATTTCGGGGTGGTCAGCGAAGTATTCGATGACTGCGTTCGCGCTTGTAAATTTCTCCAATTCGGATATGATAGCCGCGATTGGAACTGTCGGGAACCGTTCTTTGACTTTGTCGATGTCGTCGTTGAGCGAGTCTTTATTAAAGAGTTGGTAGAGGCGTACGAAGAAGCGAGAAGTTGGCGGGAGTTTTTTAATTGACGGCTCGCAGGTGATTTGTCTTCTGATGATATTTTCTTTACAAAGTGGGCACACGGCGTTGTGTTGGAGCCAACTGATGACGCAGCTGTGGTGGAATTTGTGACCGCATGGGAATGCAACGCACTTTGTCTTTAAACGGGAGTAACAGATCGAACAATCGCCGTCTTGGTCGTTACACTGACGAATAGTACTTGAGAGGTAGACGTGGGTGAAGTACTTTTTAATACTTTTAATCTTTGTATAGAAGACAAAGAAAAGTCTTCCGATCTGGAAAGCCATCCAGAGACTCATCAGGATTTGTGGAACAACAAAAACAAGTAAAACGGTGTAATGGAGTAACAGAAGACCAATGATCGCCACTTCAAAGTGTAAAGTAACAAAGAAATACTTAACAAACTGTTTGTTCCATTGATTGGTCGAACACCACAACCGCGTTTTCACAAAGGAATAGATCAATTGTGTCATCTCGACGGGGATCACTACAAACTCGGGGATGAGGATCGTGTATATCGAAAGCGGACTTAACAGTAAACACTTGAACATTAACACCCCAAACAAAACAACATAAATCGGGACAAACACAAAGAACCCCACCGTCGAAAACGTTTTGAAAAACGTCGTCGGGGAGAAGTAACACTCTTCCCGTAATTTCAGCTGGAAGAGCAATGTCATGTTCCGCAATAATTGAATCGAAAAATACGAATAGAGAAAGACCGGTTGGTTCGTCGATAAGATAAACCCATCTAAGATCGAGAGCGTGGACGTCTTCAATATCACACAGAGAACTACAGCAAAGATGATGAAGATCACATCATCATCACGAAGCGACGAATACCGAATGACCACCACACACGATAACAAACAGACTAATAGAACAACAGGGGTAAACACATAGGGGATAAAGAGAATCGTCGTCACTTCACCAAGAAGTGTCATTTGATGGTTTTCGAGTTGCCGACAATTTTGTGCTGACAAAATGTTATTTATGACATTTTTTGGTCTCTACAAAGTGAAGAATTTTTGACTTGCATTGAGAAATTACACAGAAATTCAATGGTGTGTAACTTTTTTACATAACAAGATCCCAAGGCTTAATTCAGATGTCTTATCACCATAACGCGATCCCTCAATACTCGTCGTTGACAAACTTCCTCTCAGAGTCACAGTCGTCGAGCGTTCCAGCGTGGACATGCGATGAGTCGGTCTTGCTCGAGCAACAGATTGCTAGGTTTGTCCCTTCGAAGAATTATAACAAAGCTAGTAACGAAAAGAACAAGTCCCGAGGAGGACGGGCTCAAAGCGGTTTTGTCTATTGCGCCATTTTTCCCTCACAAATCAATTCAGCAGATTTCCCTTCGGATACAGTGGCTTCGATCACAGTCGGTTTGTTTCTTCTATGTTTTATGCCAAAATGACTCATTTTTTTTCACCCTAAATATCCTTTCGTTCCTCCTTCACAATCTCGAGATTGTCTCAAATGAAAAACTATAAGTTAATACTATCGAAATTACTATTTACTAGCATCTCATTTCAAAGTACTGATGACCAGAAGCAGTCGTGGGATGACTTTTGCAAATCATTCGAAAACGAAAAAAAGCAATACCGTAGTCAATCTTCGTTCCGTCACACGGCAAGCGAAGCTTCGTCTGAAAACAGTTCCACGTCATCTCATTCTTCCAATGGTTCTTCCCCACACATCACGTCCTCTCCAATCCGTCAAACCAGAACTGCAAAATCAGAAGATTTTAAGACTCAGAAACGGAAAAAAGCACAGAAGTCGTCGTTTATGGCGCAAACCTCAATAGTAACGATCAACAACGTGTCTTCTCAAATCTTTTTGGAGATTGACTCACTCATCTCTCAAAATTTTGAGATTTTGGAACGACTGACATCAAAACTCCAATATGGGTTTGTAGCGAACAAAAATGACATCCTCACCTTCACCGTCAATTTGCGGCTCCTCCTCTCACTCACCGACAAGACTGCGCTACCAAAAAGTCTCCCATTTCTCCCTCTCGTCCTCGATATCCCACCCGAGTTGGCGACTCTTCCACAGGATGTCTATAACTCGATCAAGAATAACAACCTCCATTTCATGTAATTTACTTTAATTGATTGTAATAGAAAGTAATTAGAAACTTATTGGTTCTTTTTTAATAAAAGAATTATTGAAGAATTTGTTATATTTTTAATTAAAAAGAATTAACAAAAGAAATATAAAAACCATAAACTAAGTCGGAACAGCCAGGTTAGAAGATAGCGAATTGTTTTTTGTCAGCAGATCCTCTGGAAGTGTATTTGAGGACGTTGAATCTGACGGTCTTAGAAAGTGGTCTGCATTGACCGAAGACAACAAAGTCACCTTCCTTAAGTTGTCTGAAGGCTGGGGAGCAGTGGACGGCAATGTTTCTATGTCTCTTTTCATATCTGTTGTACTTTGGGATGTAATGGAAATAGTCTCTTCTGACAATGATCGTTCTTTTCATCTTGCACGACTTGACAATTCCAGAAAGGATTCTTCCTCTGATCGAGATCTTTGAAGTGAACGGGCACTTGTTGTCAATGTAAGTCCCATTGATGGCTTCATCGGGTGTCACAAATCCCAAACCGATGTTCTTGTACCATCTCTTGGTGCTGTTGAAATCGATGCGACCCTTGGCGTCACGATTGTGGTACTCGTGGAAGGGCTTTTGGAAAGCTCTCTCTGTCTGCTCGGCCATTGCATTTTTTTAGTCCCTTAACCCTTCTTTCATTCCGACACAACCCTTCAATAATCCTTAAGTGAAGATTTTACTATATTTTTACTATATTTGTTCTTTTAAATAATCATTGCTTTTGGAACAAGTCGTTTGATTATTTTTATTAAAAATAAAGTTATTTATTGTTTTGTGGAAAAAAGAAGTTTTAATAAGTAATAGAAAATTATTAGAAAATAAAATAATTATGATGATAATTTGTTTTAATGGTTATTTATAGTTGTGAAAAGGATAAAATAGATGTTATATAACAAAAAAGTCATTTTCTGATATATTAAAAGTATAGTTTGTTTTATTAAAGAATAGTTTTAAGTATGGATTCTCATTTTCAAGAGATTGTTAATGCAGAATGACAGCACATTTAGGGGACATAAAGTGGTGGTAATTTATCAAAAATGACAGAAATACCAAAAGAATGCTTTCTTTCGGTAACACTCAGGAATGTCCTTGGACTGCTTGGGGATATGCCACTCCGTGTTTCTGTTTCTCCAATGAGTACCACCACCAGGGTATACATATCCACTCAGAACCAAATTCCAATTGAAGCATTTGCAAAGATCAAACAGGTAAATATACTCTCCAATCACCTCTTTGTGCTTGACTTTGTCAAAACATCACCAAACTCTGTCAAGAAGATTCGGGAATTCTTCGAAAAAAGTCTGCTCTTCAACAATAGCTTATACTACGAACAAAGCGAGTCGCACAAAGAAACCAAAGAATTCTTTTTTCCGTCGAACAACTCTGTCTCATTTGAGTATAATAACTGTAGAGTTATCTTGGGGTATGCAAAGAGTCTCTGCACTTTGAAGTGTGCCATGTTTGTCAACAACTGGTACGTACCGATGGAGATTGACACGCTCAGATTTTTTCCTTTTGTGAACTATCATATGTACTTTGAAAAAAGAAAGCTCCTCTCGGACTTTACAACAAACAAAATTAGGTCAGTTGTCATTTTACTTAAAACAGGACTGAACATTGTGCAACCGTCGGAACTGCTTTGTGAGACGAACCCAATTTTTGAAGAGCTCCGGAACACTCTTTATTTCAATCTCAGTTTGGCTTTTCAGAAATTCATGACGCAAGAAATTGCGTCAAATTCTAAAACCCCTGAAAGCCAGATGGAGTTGTTCTATTGCCAAAAAATAGGCGAGTGTGTAGAAGGTATGTTTGAACCAAGTTCAGCAACGAGCACATTACTGAATACAATCTCTCTAACACCACACCTTATCAAACCACAGGTCTCTCAAAATGCTGCGCTCAGCGCGATGAGCAAGCGGATCCAGACAGATTATCTCTTCTCGGACACAATTTTGATTGAGTGATGATCAACATAGAAAACCATCAAAACCGAAATAGTAACAATCAAATCATTTTTTTCTTGAGTCGAGTTCCTTTTTTTTCGCCTTCTCTTCCTGAGCTCGTAACTTCTTTCTAACCAATTGAAAAGCACTAATTTCCTCATTCTTTTCATTCATTTTTTGTTTGACCTGATCAGAGATAAATTGACTGTTAATATCCAGCTTCAATTTCTTCATTTTGTTTTCTTTATTCACTTCATCGATTCCTTCGTAAGTTTTGATTTTTTTGTTGTAATGTCCTCTAGCCTTCGAATCGAGTGATGAGAGATAGCTTTTTCTTAGAACGACATTTTCCTTTGGTAATTTCTTTCTCTGAATGATCTTATTAATTTCCGAGAGGTTTTCGTACTTCTTGACAAGAGCTTCTCTATAGTTAATTGCTCTGACCTCGTCTCTTCCCAAGAGTTTTGTCGATTCGTTTGCCTTAGCCTTCCAGACTCTAATATTTCCGTCATCTGAAGCTGAGAATATATAATGAGCATCAGCCGAGTAACATACGTTATAGACCTTTTGCATTCGTTCTCCGTAATAGCATTGTTTTTCTATGACTCTTTCAGGGTCGAATATTTTGACAGTTTTATCGTAGGATCCTGTACAGAATTCGATACCCGAAGGAGCGTAGTCGATAGTGAGTACTGGCCCGACATGACCGCTGTGAATTCTATACGGTGTTTTCATGTATCTCATATCATACGTGTACGCGTTGAAGTCGTCTGAGCAAGTAGAGAAGAAGTAGGGTTTCTGTGGGTTCCAGGACAAGTCGTTATTTCTTCTTTCGGAGTAGTTAAAAGTGACTGGAGTCGACATTCTGATATCTACAAATCCAATTGAACGATTGACGTTAGTGATTCCAATGATGTTTGTTTCTGTAGGGGAGAATTTACATTTCAATGCACCTTCAGTGATATTGAAGTGTTGAGTCGGTTGGTCTCGTTCAAATTCCCACAAGTCAACGCCTTCATTTCCTCCAGTACAGAACGAGTCGGAATATCTTCGATAATCAACACATTGCAAAGGAATTTGATTGTTATACGTCATAAGGGGACGGGTCACTTGAGCGGGAGATCCTGAGATTTCAGTAGCAACAGATAAAGGCCAAATCTTAGCAGTACTGTCGGATGAACTTGTAATGATTAATTGTTCACTTTGTCGTGTTGATGTAACTACTACACCAGTAACTATTGTGTCGTGCGCTTGCATCTTATAAATACAATTGTTCACACCTACATTCCACACACGAACTTCACCATCATACCCTCCACTCACTATATAAGAAATCTCAGCTCCGGCGCGACTCAAACATGTCACTCCATCAGGATTCCCTTCTAACGCTTTAATAAATGGCTTTGAAAACAAACGATCAAGTTTGGCTGCATTTAATGCCCGCTTGTACTCACGAGCTTGTTGGAACGGATGGTCTACACTGTTATTCGAGTGCTGCGGAAACGGAAGGTCACTCGGTAGCTCTTTGAATTCTGTCAGACTGTTCCGTGAAATCAAATGAAACGTATTAGGGTCAAAAGACATCTAAAGGCTTTGCTTTTTTAAGTCTTTTCTTAAACCCTTCAATTCTAAAAAAAAATTTAAATCAATCCTTTGTTTCAAAATTTTTTTTTTAACAAACGTCGAAAAAAATTTTATTATTTAAAAAAAAACTTTTAAAACTACATTATAGTTTTATATAGTTTAATATAGTTTAATATAGTTTAATATAAAATAGTATAGTATATTATAGTATATTATAGTATATTATAGTATATTATAAATTTAAATTAAAATAAAAAAATATACTATAATTTAATGTCTTGATTTTTTTAAAGTGTGACATAAAACGATTTAAAATTGTTTAAATCAGGGTCGGCCAAGATCCAGTTTTTAACAACTTCGTGGCAATCTCTAATACGTGTCAGTTCATTTTAAGTTTTAGCATATTGTCAACAAAAAACTTTTTAAGTTTTTTAGAGTTAAAATGTTTTTAAAATTTGGTAAAACTATAGTTAACGATTTAAACAAAATTTTTATATTGTTTAAATCATCATTTTAATGTGTTATAATCCAGTTTTAAAAAACAAAAATTGAACAGTAAAAAGCATATGATATTATGGGATGCAGAGTTTTTAAAATCAAATAATAATATTCACTCATTATAATTGTAATATACACAGAAGATACTTACAACCAATAAAAATCATGAGAAATAATTAGTGATTTCAACTTAAAATTTTTATTTTAACAATTAATATATCTTTTCAACATACACATTATTATTAATTGTAAATGTATATATATATATATGTATATTTGTCAGTTTAACAAAGGTTTTGAAAAGTTCATTCGGTCCTTTCTAAATTAAAGTATTAATTAAACATTCAAAATAGAAGTAATTTTATTATCTTTAGCCATAATACAAAACAAACAATGTATTATTTTTTGAATGAAGTCAACCATATTACTTTCAAAATATTGTAAAACTTATCTTTAGTTAATTTTCTTGATAAAAACGATAATTCATAATACGATAATAATCAGTCAAAATAATAATTATCACCCAAATAAAAAACATTATCAAAGCAACTTTAAATAAGTTTCATTTACATGTATAATTTACAATTGAAAGGTTTTAACGTAAAATTATATTAACACAAAGAAATATTATTATATTGTATTTAAAGTAATTTGAAAATAATTTGGTGTCTAATATAAATTATCGTTTTATTTTTCTTCATTTTATCATATGGTATAAATAATTGTGTTTTGTCATTTTCATTTTGTTTTTCAAAAATGATTGTGTTATTTACCATTTTAATGTTTTTTAAGTTTTTTTTCAATAACATGATCGTTTGGCCGACCGTGTTTAAATGGTTTAAAAACTACGATTTTAATATTTTTATGGTCGAATTATTCAATAAATTGGATTCGTTGTTCCGTCAAATTTAATCTCAAAAAATGATATTTAATAGTTCTGAAAATACAAAAAACCGAAAGATACCCTAAACTTCAAAACAATCATTAATCAGACTTGGCCAACCTTTTTAACTCGGCTTTCTTCGCTTTAAGTTCTTCTTCGCGTATTTTCTTCTCGGCCTCAAGTTTCTTGCTGAGCGCTAAATTTTTCTGTACAATCGTGTCCACATCGACACCGGTTGTCTCTTTCAATCGCTGCAATATTTGGTCTTGGCGGTGTTTGAAAAGACCTTCTGTTAATTCACGACGAGCTTTCTGGGCTTGTTTCATCTTTTTGCTGTGGACGGCTTTACGCTTTGGCATTTGACTTTCCAGTTTTTTTGTCCATTTTATGCATTAGGTTTCCTCCCGATTCGACCATTTCTTGATTTACCATATTATTAATTTTGTTTACTTAACTGTATAGTTTCTCATTTTTCAAAAAAAAATGGTATTGTTTTATGATTAAGTAACGATCTCTTATTAGTAAATACCATTGAACGAAGTGCTAAAATGATTGTTTGAGATTGAGAGATTTGGAACGAGAGAGCAGAAGAGGAAAGAAAAATGAGTAAAAAAGTGTAGTCAAAATCACATTTTGATGGAATTCCCCTTTGCGAATTGGATGAAAACATGCGCTCCCATTCACGAACGCTGCATTGCAGATATTAGTCTTGTCGGCAGTCACGACTGCGCTACAGCGAAAATTCTGAAAAAGCACATCATCCCACCGTTCTCAATTGTCCCAACAAAGTACAGAGGGTTTATCAAACGATGGGCCAAGACACAAAGGTTATCTATAGGCGACCAGTGCAAAGCAGGCTCGAGGTACTTTGACTTTCGTGTCATTTACGATACCGGTTTGGATGATTTCTTCCTTTTACATGGATTCTATTGCATACGATTGGAAGATGCACTCAAAGAAATTGTACAGTTTTTGGACGAACACGCCGATGAGGTACTCATCGTGGATATGAATCACATCTTCAACGTGAAGAGTAAAACAGTAATGAAGAAGCTGTACAATTTGATCGAAGGGTTGTGCGCAAAGCACGCAGTCCTTGATGACTCCGACAAAATTCATGCACCCCTCAAAAGCTTGGTCAGACTCCACCAGAGGATGTTTGTCTTCTGTCTGAATCTGCCTCATGTCAATCTGCCGAAACCACTCTTCGTGTTCGACCACGCACAAGTCACATCTTTATGGCCAAACAGAAACACAACAAGCAGAATGATGAAAGTTCTCTCAAACAACACAAGGAAGGCAAAAGACCTCACGCAGCCTACTATTGTGCAAGCAATAGTTACTCCGTCGATTAGCAGCATTAGGAAGAGCTTTTATGACAAAGAGTATCCAGCAACAACACTCATGATTGCGCAAGAAACAAACCCAGTTGTGCTTAATTGGCTCCACTCACAACACACATTCATCAACATCCTACTCATTGACGATATTGGCAAAAATGATCAAATTGTTGCAGAGATGATAAAAAGAAACACCACATTTCCAAGATGAGCATCTGAATTGATATACTTTGTTTTCAAAGTATTGAGTTTGTTTCAATTATTATAAAAAATTATAGTAAATTATAATAAATATGAAAAGAAAATAGTTTACAACGAGTCTTGTGACTCTACCACAACAAATACGGCATTTGAAGGAACAAATGCGGACAACCGCTTTGTTTGGGAACACTCACTTTTTGGTGTCAGATCGACAAGATGTGAGAACCACCGATTTTTGATGTTATTAGGACTTCTACCAGGGAGGAAATGTTGAATTACCGTCCACTTATTTCCATATATTTGTTGAGCGGTGATGATGGTCATATCCTCCTGCATCGACCACGGTTGACGAGTAATTGATGGATCATACTTTTGAGTGAATCGCTCTTTACATTGTTTTTTCGTTCTCCCATCGACGCACTGAGACACGGCTTCCCAATTTTTGCCATGTTTCTTGACTGCGTCGACAAGCATCATATCCTCTTCTTTTGACCAAGGAATGACCATCTTCGACTTTTTGAATGAGCAACGAATCCCTCTTGATGCCGTTTGAGCTATCAGTGTTTCAAATGTTTTGCTTTGTGTTTCTTCCATAGTGTTGCAGTTGTAATTGATTTTCAGTCTTTCCGTTTTATTTATTTTATTCGGTTTTTGTTTTTGAATTCATTTTCTTCTTAAATGTTCGATGCGACTATTTCCGGATGTGCATTACAGGTGCACATGTGAACCTTTCTTCAATCATTGTTGTATTGGTAATAAATATAAATAGTATTCGAAACCATTTCTTATAAAAAAATATGGTATTCTATTTTAGTACTTTTTATTAGTTTGTTAGTACTAGTATAATTATAATCATTTATTAAATATTTTATTATTAAATTTAATAAATCAGTAAAAAAAGAAAGAATGGTATTATATTAATTAATTTAATTATAAAGTATAATACATGGTGATTACTTGTTCTACTCATTTTTGAAATGTTTCAACAAAGTCTTTTTTCCACCCCAAAAATGTGTTCTATTTATATTACTAGTCAATATTATTAAATTATAGTAATATTGAGTCAACTTATTTGATGTTGATACTTTTGTTTCTGCAATGATTCTCATAACTATATTTATTAGTTAAAATTATAATAAAAACTAGTTCTTTGAGTTGAAAAGCCCACTTTTGGTTCTGGCAATGCTGGAAAACAAGCAACCAGAACTTGGAATCGAGCCGACTGAACTTCAAAACTTGGCATGAAAAGTACGAGCGCAGAGGAATTGCCACGTTGTTCGTTGAAACGGGTGTTGAACATTACATTAAGACAAACGACGATTAATATAGATGACACGACGTGGTCTTTATCACTTCAGTTTTGTACGCAACAATCGAAGAATAAGACTTCGCTGATGCCGATTCCACTTGGAATTAAAAAGGTCGAAGAGGTTATAACACTGCCTTACGTCCATACCCATTTATTAAAAGATTTATTAATAGTAAAATTATATAAAAAACAGAAGAAAGAAAATGTGGTGATTGCGACAACAAAGGTCTCCCTCCAACGTATTCTTTTTAGCGGATTTGAAGGAACTTGTGAATTTATAGGCGAAGATAAATATGGAGATCTTCACCTTGGCTCCGTTATGTTTCAAGTCGAGTCGCTTCCACAAGAGTATTCGTCGTCCGAGGACGTCATCCGATTTGCTCGGGACTGCGTCGATCCCGAAATTATTGAACACATCGAAACTGAAGATAAACAGCCGGAGAAGAAGTCGCGCACAAATGTTTTACGGCGTGTTATTCATTTACCCAAGAAAGACTTTCCCAAAAGTAAAAAGTGTTTATGTCGTGTCATTTCTCCATACGAAGAGGAAGCGACTGAATATGATGGTTTTGATGATTGTCAGTGCGATTTATCCGAAATTAAAAATGGCGTTCTCGTCGTCTTTCAAGAGAAAAAGAAAAAAGCCGAACAGATCAAAACGTTGTTATCCGACAGTGACTCACCCACGAAATTTTACTTCTACGAAGTCCAAAACGGTAATTTCACAACAAAGCTTTTGCCTTATTTAAGTAATAACACTAATTTGGGAATTACTGTCCCTATCGTCTTGTGCGGAGGTGACTTCTTCTTCGGAATGTTCGTCAGACAACTCCTCGAAATGAACGCAAAGGAAAAAATGGTCGACGTCACTCCTTTTATCGTCCCAACTACCAGAAATTGTCTCGTCGCTAAGGACTTGGGCGAAATCGACGTCAAATACAAAAACATGTTCTGCACAGACTTTTTGACTAAGATCGACAACGAAAAGTCGAAGGCGCGAGATGCACTCCTCGACTACTTCAACCAAAACACTCAACAAAAACTCAAATTATCGGAAATCACTATCACCGACAACGAAAAGACTTTCAACGCACATATGCTCATGAGCGCAAGAGTACTCTGCGAGAATAAAAACGTCAGCGTCGATTACTGGAAAGTTAAAGACAAAAAACCAACAACAGTGAAAACAAAGAAACTCATCGACATGTTCGAGCTCGTCAAGGTTAGAAAGGACGACTGCTTTGCAGTCACTTTTTCTAAACCAGAAAAGAAGGAGGACGACGTCAATGAGGTCGTCATGTGCACAAAAATCGTCATCTCTTCCGAGGACGAAGGAATCAAAGTCATGGTCGATAGGTGTCTTGTGTCGTCGGAGGCGAGTTATATCACTTTCAAATACGAAATGCCAAACAACGTCTTCTTCGCTGTGCAATCGTTCAATTAATTTTGTTTGTCGTTTTGTATTTGATGTTCTTCACACTCAACAGAGGTACAACAATACATAACATATATTAACTATTTGGGATGTCCACAATGTTGGCTACCATCACTGTTAATGCTACAAACGTCACCACCATCGTGATGGTCAAACAGATACACCCACACACCGTCCTCTTTTTCTCTGCTGGGCTTGGCCGTACCACTATCGGTTTGACAGGGGTGGTATGTGGGAATTCGATCGAGAGTGTGTCGTCCTTGAGACTGACTATCTTGACTGGGGTCAATACACTCCGATTTTTGGTCTTATTTCTCGCCTTATCAGTGCTCTCTTTCCGCACCTTCTCAGAATTTTCCTCCACATTTTCCGAACTTTCGCTGTCAAAATTCAATCTTCTGGCAGCCGATAAAATTGAGGAACTCGTTCGTGAGAGACCAATCTTGGAGGTGGAATAAGAAAGGCCAAGTTTTTGCGATCTACTGAGATTGGCTTTCCGGAACGGCGAGTTCATCAGATAATTTATCTCTTTTTTCATCATTCTCTCATTTACATCGAGATTGCCCGATGGCGGAATCTAGTCGTCAGGAATGGTATAAAAGGCTAAAAAATAAATTACAATTCGGACAACAAAACTCAAACCTTTATATTCGCGGAAAACGTGGGGACAGAGTTGAGCTCAGTCCCTTTGCCCTTGGCAAGAGGCTTCCTCTCAGAGTTGTGGGTTGAACCCTCTGCGGATGAACTTGCTGACCTTAGCTCTTCGACAACTTTCTCAAGCGCGACGTTCTGCTGATTTAAATCGTTGATTTTGACACAAAGTTTGTCGATAGTTTCTTTCTGGTCATCACCCATCTTCTTCAGTTGGGTTTCAAGTTCACTGTTCTTCCTCTCAAGACCGATACTTCGTTCTCTGTAAAACTTCTTTTCTATTACCTCGTCATCGATGTCGATCCTGTCGAAGACGATTTTGCCATTCTTGATTTGAACACGAGCGGTGAAATCTTCGTAATTTTTCTCATATTTCTGAAGCTCCAGTAGTGTCTTCGAGTGGTTTTCCTTCTCTTCAATTAACTCGGAAAACAACTTTTGCTGGCGTTCGGAACTTTTCTTCATTTCAGTTGTCATTTCTTTGAATAATTTGATTGACGCCCTCGCTTTCGTTTCGGCTTCGTCTTTCTGAACTTTGAGAATTTTGTATTTATCAACAACCATACTCAACGAGTCCAAAAGGTGCTCAAAGTAGTCAACCTTCTCCTCAAGTTCGATATCTGACTCGTCGCTGCTGCTCAAATCTTCATCGGGAACATATTCAAATCGAGAGACAACTTTTTCAATTGTCATTGGTGAGTTGAGTGGTGACGATGTGCTGTTGGAAGTTGATGAGTGGTCGCTACTTATTTTCTCCTTTTTGTTGTTCATTTTTGGTCTTTCTCGAGTTCTTTATTTATTAAATCATTTTAGACAAAACCGAAATGAAAAAAGTGAAAATTTATTATTCTATTTTATTATCAATATAATTATTAATTATGGTATAGTATATTTTAACTAAATTTTTTAAATTTAAATAATAAAATTTTTAATTAAACTATCATATTTTTTTTAGTTGTAATTTTTTGATTATTATAATTAAAACTATATATATTATAATTTAATATAGTATATATAAATTAATTTTCGCTTTTTGTTTTTTAACCAATTTAAAGCTATAATTAAACTAAAAATATACTATATTTCCAATAAACAATAAGATAAAAATGTACTATAATAATAATAAAAATTAATAATAAAAATAATTAAAAACAAAACTACAATTTGTGTTGCAAAAAAATAAAATTTTCCCAAATTTTCTATCGTGGCGACAAATCAAATCAGTTAATTCAGTAGGATAAAAGGCGAAAGAAACTATAAATTATAAATCAAAGAAATTAAAAAATAACTATATATAGAATAAGAAAAACACACAGACAATCAATCAAATGACCCCTACATAATGTAAGACGACTCGTTCTCACCATACTGTTTGGCGACGTAATCCCTCTGGTATGTGGAGAACGACTCGAACTGTTCCTTCAATTTTGTGGAGAGAATTTGTTCGTATTCGTCACGCATCCTTCGCTCGTTGATTAGGTTTGAAGTGGTGACAAGTTGCTTGACCTCGTTAATGGTGAAGGTGGTCTTTCCGGTCGACTCAATCAGCTCGTCTGTTGTCAGTTCGATGCGCGGGAAGTTGGAAATTCTATTAAAGGTGTATCCGCTTTGTGGAGTCATTCTCTTCGGCTGATACCTCAACGAGGCGCCTCCCGTGACTCCTTCGGATTCCTCCTCGTACATCATTCGCTTCGTTAATGAAAACGCCATTTGTTCTTTTCAAGTTTTTCTTCCCTTATAAATCCTTTTATTCCGAAAACTCATCTTATTCATCCATTATCGTTCCACCCAATTATATCTTATTCGCACTGAGAACTTTAAAATAACATTTTATATAACATTTTATTTAATAATCATAATTTTAATAATAATTTTAATAATAATTTAATAACAATTTAATAACATTTTCAAAAAACAAATTTTTATTGCAAAAATAAAAAAATACAAATTGAAAGAAAAAAACAAAAACGTCATTTTTTTTCACAATTTCATAAAAAAGATTGAAAGAAAAAATAAAAACCATAAATTGGTTAGGATATGTCGAGATACCTTCGGCGGATACTGAAGAACGATGAGCATACGCGTTCGCCGGGCATTACTGAGACTGGTTTATGTGGGTTGTTTAATTTGGGTAACTCGTGTTATGTTAATAGTGTTGTACAATGTCTCGCGCACTGTGATATCATCCAAAGCACGTCTTTTCAAGTTCCAACGCCATTTACCAAATCGCAAAAACCTGGGGATTCTTCCTTGTACGACAACAACATTTCCCTTGCGTTCTTTTCAACCGTGAAATCGATGTGTTCGACCGATTTTTCCATAGTCACTCCAAAAGCAATCAAAGATCTCTTGGGAATGAAATACGATCAATTTAAAGGCCACAAACAACAAGACGCCCAGGAACTGTTAATCATTTTGCTTGATGAGCTGAACTTGGGGATGTTTGTCTTCTTACCATTTTGTGAAATCACAGAAGGACTGAATTCTAGTTTGTCACCACCACTCACCGAAATGATCAGTCACCACCCGTACAAATTCCTCCCCTCAAGTCAACCAGCTGCAGACGAGATTTGGAATCGGTGGCAGAACGAAAACAACTCGATCATCACACATTCTTTTTGTGGACAACAACTTCAAAGGGTCACGTGTACTGTTTGTGGCTATCACAGTGACTCGTTCGACCCCTTTAATTGCCTGTCGATGACAATTCCGTCGATCTCAAGACAGCGCGGGTTTGTGACCGTTTGTGTCATTGGGAGTATGGGCCCACCAATCTACTTAAAGATTCTTCTCAACGCGTCGCCCGACGTTCTTGAGATCCAACAACGCATTGAGAAGGAGCTTAAAAAGGAGAAAGACGAGAGCATCAGAAGTATTGATGCGAAGCATCTCATTTGTAGTGTTGTGCAGAAGGGAAAGCCGTGGAAGTTTAGACCGACGTCTCATGGGATTCTTTCACTTGTGAACTACGAGAAGATCTTTGCCTTTGTCGACCCGTTTTTATGCTATGACATTAAAGAAGGTGAAGAGAAGAAAGACACAATTGCAGTCATCATCCAAATTCGTGTGGTGAAAGGGCCACACGTCTGTGTCCTTCACAACGACCCGATTGTGATTAGTGTTCCTTCAACGTGTACAGGCGAGGAGTTGATTAACATGGTACACGCGCGGATGTCGTGGTGTGGGCAGCGTGGTGTTGTGAAGATAGTCAATGACGAGTTCAAGGCGTGTGGGTTGTGTGGCGAGAAGATCGAGTGCGATGGGTGTATGGCCCGGGACGTGATGTATGCGACCGACCTCCTCTATGAGCCCAAGAAAAGTAAATTTTTTTCCATCTATTTAAGCTATGACGTTCCGGACAATTCAGAAAATGACAAGATGAGATGTTGTGATTCGTTCGAGATTGGAATGACGCAACGTTTAAAGACGACGGCCGTCAGTCTATTCGCCTGTTTGACATTGTTCACACATGGGGATTCGTTCGAAATGATCGAGTGGAAGTGTGAGAAGTGTGGGAAGAATGTCGCAGGGGAGGTTGACGTCACCATATGGCGACCACCAAAGGTCCTTATCTTCCATTTGAAGCGGTTTGAGTTCACGGAGAAGTTCGAGAGAATCAAGACCTTTGAAAGGGTGGTGTTTCCCAACACCAACTTTGACTTGAGGGAGTATGTGTCAAACCCCGACTGGAAGGATCCCGTCTTGTACAATCTTTTTGCTGTGGTGGTTTGTTTTGTAATTGTTGTGATTAATTGTACTATACAAAAACTATAATAAATAATACAATTGAATTGCTTTTAAGTTTCTTGAGGAACTGAAGGGTAGAACCACGACGGAGAGATCGACAAAGGCCATTATAGCGCAGACTGTAAAGTGGGAGAAGAGTGGTACACGTTCAGTGACGAGAAGGTGACTCCCCTTCCTGCAGCGCCTTCTGGTTCCGACAACGCATATATTTTGTTTTACCGACTCGTTGAATAAAGTAAATTTTGTAGTTTATTTCTAGTAAAAGTGTTAGACCCGTCTAGTTCTTTTTGAATGATTTGATTGGGCCTTTCTATTAAAAACGAACAATTTTCTTTTTTAGAACAAATCAAAAAAAGAAAAAAAAAGAAAAAAAATTGAAAATAGTATTAATAATAGTAAATTATTAACAAGAATAATAAAAAAAGGAGAAGTGAGAAAAGGGAAACCCTTGAACTTGAAAGTGTAACCCGAGGCAATGGTTTGTTTATCCACCTTCAAATAGATGATAGAAATCTGGGAAGAAAGAGAAGAGAATAACGAGTAGTCGAAGAAGGCAGCAAAGCAAGCACAGTCCGGTGATGTAGTGATTCAAGGCTCGACAAAGGATGCTTTTGGTGTCGCCCACATCTATGCGACATTCAACGACACATTTGTCCACGTGACCGATATTTCTGGCAGAGAAACGATCATTAGAATTACAGGTGGTATGAGAGTCAAGGCCGATAAGGACGAAAGTTCCCCATACGCCGCTATGACAGCCGCACAAGACGTCGCGAAGAGATGCAAGGAACTCGGAGTCACTTCCCTTCATATTAAGATCAGAGGAGAGGGTGGAGTTTACTCTAAGACACCAGGCCCGGGAGCTCAAGCTGCTTTGAGAGCTCTTGCTCGTGCCGGGATGAAAATCGGAAGAATCGAAGATGTCACCCCAATCCCAACCGACTGCACTAAGAGAAAAGGTGGAAGAAGAGGAAGAAGACTCTAAGATAATTGATGTCAAGGGTTGTTATTTGTGTTTCATTCCTGTTCGTTCCGTCTATTTAGGGTTGAGACGTTTTATTCATTATATTGTTGACATTTCGTGCATGTTTTCTATAAAATCTTTTGTTGTGATGTGTTGATTCATTTTTTACAATTATTTTTATTATAATTATAATTAATATTATTAATATTATTAGTATTATTATTATTATTATTTTTATTTTAATTATAATTAATATTATTAATATTATTAATATTATTAATAATATTAATATTAATATTAATATTAATATTAATATTAATATTAATATTAATATTAATATTAATATTAATATTAATATTAATAACATTATTATTATTATAAATAATTAAAAAATTCTATAATCAAACAATTGTATTGTTAATTGTTAATGAAATAGTTTGCTCAATATGGTTTTTTCAAATAGTTTGAAAATTAATAATAATAGTAAATTTTAAATAACTTAAATCAAAAATTTTATTAGAAAATTAAGCATTATTATTTATTATAATTTTATTATATTTAAACCATATTATTTACTATTTAATTTAAACTTGTTGTTTAAGTCAAATAAGTCAAACTGTACTATTAAAAACACTATAATACAAATACAAAGTATTTCAAAAAAAAACAAAAATTAAAAGACTAAAATGGTTATAATAAAAAAAATTAATTAATTTATAATAAAATAAACCATTTAATATAATACATTGAAGAGAAGGGAGACTAACATATGAACAGAACTAGACAAAGAAAACCCTCATGGAAATTGTGGTGGATAAACTCGTTCTGTTCAACATTGTAAAGCACTTCAAAAACACAGCCGCGTCAAGACAGGACGCAAGAAGCTGTGGGAAGTTGTTTGGATTGTTCGAAGAACAGAACATCTACGTGACTTTTTCAACACCAAAAGACGTCGATCTCAACACTAACATGCCAAAGGACATTTACGGGCAAGACACATCGTGTATCGGACTCTACATTGTCGGAGAGGCGCTGAACGTTTTGGAGCAACAAGTTCTCGCGCTGACACAACTGAAGAAAAAACTCGGGCAGGCAGTTGTTATCACGGTCAACCCAATCACTACCGCGCGCAGCGGAAAGGTCGACATCAAGGCGTTTTACATGGATGACTCAAAAGAAACACCAGCGCTGGTCGAAGCGAAGGTCACCATTGTTTCGTCTTCACTCGAGAAAGCATTCATAAGTGAGAACATGATTTAAATCTTATTTGTTTATTTATTTATCTTCGGCAGTTCCTTGTTCAACACAAACAACTGCCTCTGATTGTGAATTTTCATCTTTTTTTTCGCCTCTTAAATGCGCTTCGTTCCACCAAAGTTGTCATTCTCACTTTTTGAGAAACATGATTGTCCAAACGGAACGACAACACATTTGGGGAGAGAAAATTGAAAGAAAAAAACAATGAGGTTGGATATTATACTCAGAAACTCAAAGGAAATAAAGATGAGGATCTTGACGCTAATTGTCCCGTCATTCCTCCTGTTTGTATCTATCACTATGAACCTGCCTTCGAAACCTCTCAAAAGGATAATCCTTGGAACAATAGAACACCTATCAGAAATACAAGAATCGGAAATCGCCTATGTGCTCTTTATTTTGTGCAATTGTGCTTCACTTCTCTTATGTTTGTTATATTTTAGTATCAATGTATGATAAAGTTCTGTTCAATAACAAAAACTAACTTACAGTCATCCCAATATCAATGACAACAATGGCTGGTGGGTTTATATTCGGAATGTATAAGGGGACAATGTTGAGCGTCATTGGGAGAAACATTGGGAGTGTTTTACCCTATTGTTTGGGGAAGTTGTTTGGAAAAGAGTTGGCCGAGGCATACTCAAAAAAAAACGAGTGGTTTGAATGCGTTGTAAAAATACTCTCGACAAAAATCCATCTTTTGTGCTTATTCAGAACATGTCCGTTTATCCCTTTCACACTTACGAACTATTTGTTGGCGCCATTTGTTAAGCCCAAGGAATTCTTCTTTGCGACGTTTGTCGCAACAATTCCAGCATCTCTGCTGTACACCTACCTCGGAACACTGGTACACGATGTTGTGAACATGTTCTCCACTGACGATTTCATTTTCACGGTTCCGTCGATTCTGTTTTTGGTGTTTGCGTTGGCACTCATCATTGCGTTCTTCGTCGGTTTCGGGTACTTTTTCAAAAAGGAGATTAAAACCGGACAAAGAACAGAGAAGAAGAAGCAGAAAAAAATATACTTCCTTAGCGAAGTCTCGATTCCGACCAGCAGTGTCTCTCAAGGCGAAGCTCATTTGGTCTAACTCCAAGTTTCGAACATATTTCAGCAAGAATTGCTTTTTGCATTGAATTATTTTTATGTAAACTGTTTTTCAAAAGTCGGTACTGTCATATTTTTAGAACTTCCTAAAGTCCCGTTTTTTATTTTTGTTTTTTCCTAAAAAAATAAAAAACAAAAAATCGAAAGTACAGACTTAATTTTGAAAAAATACCAATATCGTTCAATTATTTTCGTACATATTCGGGAAAATGTTGGAATATTAGCCAGCCTTTTCCAAAAAACCCGATCCCGTTATTTGATTTGACCACAACTCGATACTTCGCAACATATATTTAGTATTGTTGGCCTAAAAGTACAACAATTAACGTTTAAGTGAATTGGGATGTTGTTGTATGTGTCGAGTTTTAACTGAATATAACTTTCGTTAAAAAATATTTTCAATTAAAAACAAACTGTGGTTATCTTCTCTGAATAAAAAATAATGAAATAAAGAGTTCCAAAAACACCAAAAAATACAACAAATGTTTGATAATTTTGACAGACACAAGTCAAAGAACAACACAAGAAAAGACAATAATGCAAAAGAACAATATTGTTTTGTTATTGGATATTTTGAAAATGATGTTCTCACTGAAATGCTCAAAGATAATGTCGACTTTATAAAACCCAACAAAGATAAATTATCAAATCATTTTGATAATTTTATTGTTATTGTGACAACACTATTAAGCATACTAATCTTCGAACTAAGCTTTTGTTTTGTGAATATTTCGTTAATTATTAAAATGTTTGATAATGAAAAAGATTGACATTAAGTTTATTTGCTTTTGTACTAAAATGCACTTTTGGGATAATTTTTGTGTTTTTCTGAAACAAAAATCCCGTTATTTCAAATTTTATATAAATTTTTTTAATGCTTAAAAATTTTTCAAGTAAAAAAATATTTTTTGAAGACTGTTTTTCTCTTTTTTACTTGGAAAAAATAAGCGATATTTATTACAAAAAAAACGATTCCCAAAAATAACAAACAAAATAAATGCAAAAAATCGGGACACCTCAGTATCGACTTTTGTAAAACAGTTTATTTATAAAATTATTTACAGTAAAACCCCTCATTAGTAGATGTGTTGGGGAAATAAAACCCCTCAATAGTGGTTTTTTCAAAAACCTTTTTTGTTTTTTACAAACATTATTATTATTATTTTAGATAAGAAACTTGATATAAACCACATGTAAACACAAGTTAGACATAGCCACGTGATTAAGGAATAACAATGGCACTGAAAAAACATTACAAAATAATATTATGTGGTTATTATTGTATTATTATATCGCCTTTAAACACGAGAATACATGATTCAAAAAAAATATTGAAGATATTGTGAAGTTTGCATGTTGCTGTTGAATTATAATAATGTCTTCTGAGTCAAATTAAAATGTTTCAGTTTAAACAATTCAACACGTTCATCACTATTCCAATAAATTTTAGATGAAAACTTTCCACCCACGTCGAGCAATTAATATAAACCATTGACTATCAGAGGTGAGGAAGTTCAATTTATGATTGAAGCAGAAGAAATTTAAAAAAAATAAAAAAAAGAATTATGCGACGATAAAAAATCCATTCGTGTTGTAGAAAATGAAATCTTTTACATAAAAAAAGACTTGGTAGTCTGCGGGACAGCGTTGAATGAAGACCTATAAAATCAAATTGGTAACTGAATGGTTAGGTTTTTTTAAAGTTATTAAAACAGTCTTTATTTAAAATTGACAATAAAATCTTTTTAAACCAGTTTTTATTTACTCATTTTTAATTAATAAAATGTTATTACACAATTCATAAATATGCCTTTGGCAATTAAACCCGTTATTTTAAACAATTTTTATTTAAAAACTAAACCCCTTAATAATGGAAAACTTATTTTATTGGTCAATAAATGCCAATATTGAGGGGTGGTCTTATTGAGGGAACCCATTATTGAGAGGTTTTATTGTAATTATTTTAAATTATTTAAAAACTATTTCAAGATTAGAAAAAAAACCATACATTATAATTATTATAATTATCAAAAATACTATAGCAACTTAACACACAAAAAACAACACTTAACATGGTAAAAAGAAGAAATATTTGTCATCACATCAAAAGTTATCAATATAAAAAGTTTCATTCAACTACTTTTTGTTGATAATTTCATTTAAACTAAACATTATATACAATTGATTTTTTTAAACTGTCGTTTTATATTTTTTTATATTACAACACACAATTATTTACAACTATATTTCAATAACACCACATTATAAACTTAAAAATTTAAGTAGTCACCTATTGATTATCAATTATCAATTATTAAATAACAACAGTTAGTGTATAATGTTTTATTGTTTATAACAATGTTTTTTATTAAAAACAGCCTAAAAAATAATAAGAGGTATCTTTTGAGTATGTAAACATGTAAAACCAAATTAAACTTTAAACGATAACACTTAGACTAAGACAACAATTTACAAAAATTTTATATTATGACTTAAGGCTCACATGTACATGCACATAAGATATTAAAATTGATTGTTTTAAAAGTCCAAGGTTTTAATACAACATCTGTTGTATATTTAAAGATGTTAATAATAAAATTATGAAAAGTTGTTTTGATTGACAACAATCAATTAAACAATAATTTATCAAATAACACAGAAACAATTCAACTTATAATGTAAATCATCAAATACTCAAATAAACAAAGTCATAAAAGTGGTTTAATAAAAAAAATAACATATTTCAATTTCAATAATTCAAAATAAATGATTTTATGTTTTTTATTTATTATAAATTTTTAATTTTTTGTTTCGGCATTTTACAAATATGGTTAAGATTTTTTTTAATAATTTTTTGTTAATTCCCATAAAGTCGTCACAATTTAAAAAAATATCAAATAATATATTATTTTATTATGTTTAAATTAAAATATATTTTTATTTACAAATAAGGGAATCGATATATATAAATTAATTGAACTAAAAATTATAATTTTTTTCACTACAATTATAATTTTGCAAATTTTCACCTTTCTCAGAATTTGCCGAACATTTAGGTTTGTGAAATTTTGGCAAAGACTTATTAGTTTGTTTGTTGGTGTGTTTTAATATAGATCACAATTAATTTATTTTAAATTAACTGTTATGATTATAATTATTAAATTTATTTATAAAATGTTAAAGAATATTATATAAAAGTACTATAAAAACAATGAAAAATATAGTAAAATATAATATTTATTGTTATTAGTTATAAACATTTAAAATATTTCCAAAACAAAACCAATAAATAAAAATACTTGTAAAACCAAACAACAGAAAAAGAAACAAATCTATTGGTTGAAATTATTATAATTCATGTCTATTAAATTAAAGTTTTTAATACAAAAACAGAGTTGTGTTGTGGTTGTGCTGCTGTCATATACAAGTCAATTGCAACCGCTCTATGTTTGTTTTTCCTTAAAAACGATATTTTGCAAACATAAAAGAAATTAAAATGAAAGTATTATAACAAATCATTTGGTCATTTATATAGTCAAAACAACACAATCCAATTATCAAAAACTTAAATGTAGCATTTCAAGACAGTTGATTTATACTAACAAATTGAACCTTAAACATCGTTCGAGTAAATCAACACAACCGAGTAATTATTACAAAGCAAATTGTCATTATTCAATTCATTCGTGAATTGAATTAATCTCTATGTACAGAGGTTAATTAATGTAAAGAAATTTATGTGTATAACCAACAGAGAACTATTATGGTTGTAACTTACATGTGTATTGTCTGCAAATTCGGGATTAAATCCCAAATAGAGGCGTCTCATATTTTAATTGAATTCTTTGTTATTGATATGAATTTTAATAGAAATTACAATAGAAACTAATAACACATGGTTGTTTATTATAAAATATAGTTTATCTTGTCAAGTCGGACTTTTTTTGACTAACTTTTTTTATTAATATAATAATTTGATAATTTTTTATCAACAATAAAAATATTTTTTAATACTAAATATATTATAATAGTATTAATAATTAAATAGTACAAATATTATAATAATAAAATATAGTTTATTTATTATGAATAATTAAAAAAATTTAAAAATAAAAAACTAAATAATATATTATTAATATTATACATTTTAATAATGTAATTTAACTATAATATGATAGTAAAAAAATTAAACACTAATAGAATTAAATGTTATTACAATTGTTAAAAATAAAGTCAAAAAGAGTCTAATAATTTGAACTAAAGTCGACCAGAAAATTGTCGTACACCAGAAAATACTCGTACACTTCCTAAAATAGATTTGTGTACATAAATTACATTTTTTTAAAGAAAAGTTAATAAAAATTTCTTTGTCCTTTTCTCTATATAAGAAACAATTCGAAGCTGGTTTCAAATCAAAAACATTGAACTTTTATTAAAATGTATAAAAAGATTCAAATTGTTAAGAGAATAAAACATTTGATAAACCATTTATTAACCATTCATAAACTATTAAATTACAAATCATTTGTTTATTCCAAAATATAGGTGGTTTAATTAACGAAAAAACGATAAATGTACTATATTTAATAATTAAATATTAATACATTATTATCAAACAATTTGAAATAATAATGTTAATTAAAAATGTTGTATTATATTTAATAGTATATAAAATTATTTTATAATATATTCGAACTAGACTAGTATATTTTTTATTTATTAACACGTAAATTAATGATTTTAATATGTTATTATTAACAGTATTATTTACATAGAATTTAGATAACCACAATTTATTACTAATTTTAACAATCTTGTCATTATAGAAATCATTAATTATAATTATTACATTATGAAAACAATCCAAGTTAAACCAAACCCACCTTACGAACATTTCAATTACGTTTTATGTATTTCTCTATCTTTTGAATTGAATGTATATTTTAATTTATAATTATGGTATTATGTTGAATGTTAATAATA